TAAAAATTTTATGAAGTGTTTTTTTCTTTAAAATGTTATTTTCAAATTAAAAAATATTCTTTAAAATATGACGTGTTATACTTATTTCATTTGAATTTATACGACTTTTTTTCTCTTCAACTTGAAATCTCCACAACTCGAACTATTTTAGCATTCCTGTGCGACTTCAAGCTATAGAGGTCCCACTGTAGTTGAGTTAAAGATTTTTATAAATGTGTGTAATAATCAATTATAAATTCAAATTTTGTTTATATATTTTTCAAAATCAGGTTTTGTTTTTATTTACCTGTACAAACATATGTTCGAAGGATATTACAAATTCACTTTACGATTGTAACACTAAGAAATAATGGTCCGAGATATAGACATAAATGTATGATTTTGATTAGCGTCGAATTTTGAGTCGATTTATAATGCGTCTATGCGTCTGTTCGTCCGTCCGTCCCAACGATAACTCAAAAACTAAGTGAGCTAAGTTCATAAAATTCCCATAAACAATTTATTGTAATAAATTCCAAAATCCTATTTAAATTGAATGTGATCGAAGCAGTGGTTCGGGTAGTAAAATTGCTACCTTACTAATACTAGAACATACTAATACTAACCAATGCTTACAGAAGAAATAGCGTACAAAAAACAGGAAAAAAAATATGCAGATTCTCAATTCTGTATACATTACGTTACCTCGTATTCATATCGTATAAGATGTATTCTCATTTTCTGCACAAGTTATTCACTACCGACCGCTATTTATGTTATATTATTATTATGCTATTTATGGTATGTTATGGGATGGCAACAAATTTTGCATATCGAGTTTTCGGTGGGAGCACACTTCTCCATCTCTTTTGAGCAATCTGTCGGCAACTGGGCGTTTACTACGGGCCAAGCCAACTATACATTTTTGCGTATATAACGAAAAATAACCAACCGATTTCATTGAAATTTAATATTTAAATTCGGAAGCTATAACAATGAATCTATGAATTTCGAAATTTTGGCCCAAAAAAAAAATTTCATTAGGTGTTTTTTTTTCGGATGCATGCATTTTATCATCCTAATTCGGAAATAGCATTGAGTCCCAGACACCCTGTATATATTATCTACGTTCAAATATACCGAAAGTTTTTATTTTATCTTTGTACGTAACACCAAGAAGCAACTGTCTGCGAGCTCTATAAAGTGAATACGTTACCCACATATGATACGTATATTATTAGAGTGAGGACCGATTTCAAAGCTTATCCAACCGGCCTCCGTCTTTCCGTGTACTCGCTATGCGTTTGTTGTTTATACGATCATTCAAGAAAAGAAGTAGCTATATTGAAGTCTGAAATTCGACGGAACGGCATTGCAAATGAGCACGAGAGGCCAACCGTGAAATAAATAATAATTAATAAATAATAAATAAAAAATTAATAAATAATAACTAATAAATAATAAGTAATAAATAATAAATAGTTAATAATAAATAATAAATCTTCCTAATATGCGTGTTTTGAAAACTTCTCCATGACACTTAAGTTTTCGAATGAGCTCTTTATTTCTAAAGTATATTCTTTTGAGGAAATTGCTTTAGTTTCAAAAGTTTAATTTAATTTCAAATTTTTAACCGACCGCATCGCATACAATGAGGAAGGTTATATGATGGCACCAAAAAATAGAAGTCGAGTGTTCCGTATGAGCGCACTTCCCCATAATAGAGAAGCATAAATAAACTAACTTTAGAGAGATGTCGGTCTGTCGGTTTGTGTGTACGCATGTATCTCAAGTTCGGCTGAGAAAACAAATTGGGGGCTAATTTCATAGTTTTTACTATATCTACGGAGCGAATTGGTGAAATTTCTTGAAATTCGATATTTTAGTTCTGGTTGTTACCGAAACTAACTGACGAACTTTTCAGTGGAATCGGGCGGCATAAAGCGAAATTTTACTAAGAGCCAAATTTACACTTTTCTAGGTATGTTTAAAGTTGAAAGGAAGTGTTCGAAATACATTTTCATTATCTTCTGTAACACTTTCACTAAACTAGGCAATGTATGTACATGCATTTTAATTAATAAAAAGATTTTATCAATTTATGCATATTTTTCGATTAGAAGAAGTTTTTAATATGGACGATAAAATGAACAAGTTTTTAAATATGGTTTGTGGCTTTTAGTATCTTTCCAAAAAAATTTTTGAAAAAAGTGCGTATTAGTTTCACTCCATCCGACCATCCGTCCGTCTGTCCGTGTGTCTGTTTACAAAACTTCTACACCCTTAAAGATAGAAACCTGAAATTTTATATGTACAATGATCTTTACTAGAAATAATTTTCGTGAAGCATAATTTTTACCTCTCCCCCTTCTAAAAGTTATACCCCCCAAAACCCTAAAAATGCCATTTTTTAACTATTTACTGTAATAGAACCATATGCACTTTTCAAATTTTACAAAGGCAGAAAAGCAGTGGATTGCTTCTTCTATCACGGCATACTGTACTTGAACTTAAAAAAAACAAAATGGCCATGAAAATTTACCATTACATAAAATCCGATTTTTTTCAAATTTTTGATGTTGTTTTTCTTCTAGACCCCAGGTTGTAGGAGCCTGTACTAACAAATAGTTTATTTCGTTGGAAGAAAATTTTTTCCATCTCCATCCCTCTTTAAATTAATTTTTGCTTTATTTAAAAACTACATAAACTGTTCATCCTAAATATATGATGCAATTTTAGAAATAGTTTCGTATATGGATAAAAGTAATTTCAATAGTGTAGCAAGTATACATCAATTGCTTTTCAAAGCAGTATTTTCACTTGTTGAAGAGAAAAGTGCTACAATACAAACCATTAGTTTGACCCAAATTTATTAATATTCTCTTAACGATAAGTTTTTTGATCAAAACTGGTATTATCGCCTTTTTCATTTCTAGTTTTTTTTTATCATTTTTCAAAAAACATTTAAAAAGTGTTTATCAATTTCACTCTGTCCGTTAGAACGTCCGTTAATCAGTGGACCTTTACAAAACTTCTACACCTTTGAAGATAGAAAGCTTAAATTTCATATGTACACAGATCGTCACTAAAAACTTATTTCCAAGGAAGAAAATTTTTCCCTATCTCTCTCCGTCTAAAAGTTAAAGCTCCATAAAAATCTAAAAATTCAATTGCAAACTGGATAGCTTCTTCTACCACGACATGCGATATTTGAACTTTAAACAAATAAAAACGTTTCAGTTGGTAAAAAGTTTTAATTGTTGTACATAGTTGAAAATATGATTGCCAAGTTTCATTACTCTAACTTTATTATTTTTCCAAATATTTAAAACTAGCTTTTGGAATTGTATGACACCTACCAAAACCTGTAAATCAATTCCTCCAAAACTTCAAGAATATGTATGACCTATAAATGGACACAAGACCGGATCGGTGCAGTCATTCCATTAAAATTTTTAGAGCATGTATGGAATGTAATTGGACACACATATACAAAATTTCATATTTATACCTTTATTAGTTTCTGAAATAATTAAATTAAACTCTTGGAGTTGTATGGCAGCCACCCGAATCCATTGTGACATACTTCTAAATAAACATTTAACTACTGACATACCTAATATTGTATTTTTTTATTGAATACTGTGCAACATTGATTACTTGTTACATTGTTTAAGCGAATGTGAATTAATTACTTGTATAATTTAAATACTCTACCTTCGCACGAAGTTTGTACACATTTGAATTAGTTGTCTGCGCTATGAACATGTATATATCTTCTTGCTCAACGTAAAATCCTGCTTAGATTTAAATATTTCCGTCCGTCCGTCCACCTGCGAGTCCGATAGAACTATCTCTCGAAAATGAATAAAGCGAATATCACTAAGCTTCCACAAAACTATTATTCCCACCCAAACAGCTATTGCAACCTGGCCTAATCGATGTTTTTTTCAATTAATTTAAAAATTTTTTATTTATATTTAATATAAGATTTTGTAAACCTGTGTAAAATTAAATTTTATATACATTTATTCCAAAAACTTTATTGGAATGGCCACTACAGGTTCGCGAAACTGCCATTCAGTCATGAAATTTATTTTTAGATAATTCCAAAACAGATATTTAGACCGAGATTGTAAAAGCGCAGGATGAATTTCAGTTGGGTTAGCCAGCAAAAAAGCTTTTAATTGTTTCAAAATTTATTTCTGATGTTAATACCTTTATGAGTCCAATAATTCGGGCAGCTTTTCGGATAGGATTATATTTTTGAAATATATCTAAAGATACGTAGATAATAATTTGCTTAAAATTTTATACATTAAGAGAACGAATCAGAAAAATTTCTGTATGAAAAGGGCGCCAAAAATAGAATTTATACAAAGTTAGCATAAGAATAATAATAATAGAAATAACTTAAAAATACCTTAAATCCTAAAATTTTTAAAATATATTGAGTTGAACTAAAATATTCCCTATACTAATATGCATTTAAGTTACGAATTTTCAATTTTGTTTTCATTAAAAAAAATTATTTTTACTTCAAAGTTTTAAAACCGTTTTATAACACAGGCTTTATTTTATAATGTAATTTAACACAAATTGACTTTAATTACATTGAAATTCTGAGTTATCAATTGCAATAAAAATCTAAGACTTAATATCTGAATATATTTGCTTACTTAGCAAATCGAAAATTATGTAACTTTTCTAATCTAAAAATTTTCTTGACGAATTGCAGACATATTAAAAATACATAATTCAATAGGATTTGGAAGACAAGTTGAGTTAATCAAACATGGTTTACTATGATTATACAATATACAGTACGAACTATTTATATTTCATTTTATACATACATATATAATATTCCGTACACTCATAAGATTAAGAATAAAATAATTAAAATAATTCATTAATTAAGATTTCACAGATTTTATGTTTTATAATTATTTGTTTTTATTTTTTACTTTAATAAACCTAAAATCATTTTTTACTCTTTCTATTTTTCTTTCATTTGCAAGCTGATTTTTTAAAAATGTGCGAAATTAAGAAGCCTGAGTTTGCAAAATGTTTAACTGAAAGTATACAAGGACTTTTCAATAATATTGAAAATGGTTAGATTAAAGTTTTTAAATATATACATATATATATACAATTATATACGTATTACGCATACTAATATTTATGCATTAATGCACAATAGGTATACCAGGGTTTACAGCCATAAAGAGCTTTGAACCATTTACATTAAACAAAATTAGAATTGCACAAGGACACTCGGAAGCTGTTAATATAAATATTGATTTATCAAAACTGAAATTGCATGGATTAACCAAAATTATTGTTAAAGAGTGCAAGTAATATTAATATTTTTTTATTTAAGTTACAAAATTGAATTTACTTACAAATAGCAATTTATCGAATTTTTGATTATTGAATAGAGTAAGTTCTAAAGATTTTTCATGGAAAACTACATTATTATTACCTAAGATGAAAATAGAAAGCGACTACGAGTTAGAAGGACGTGTTTTATTAATACCGTTGAATGGCAAAGGAAAAATGACTTTAGATATATGTAAGTATTAAGTATCTTAAGATATATGTAAGTATTAAGTACCAACTTCAAAATTTCGAAAAAACTTGAAAAAACAATTTAAAATATGTTCATAATTAATTTTTATGAAAAAATTTTTCAGCTAATTTCAATGCCGTTTTGTACACAAAAACAAAGTTATATGAAAAAGTTGGATTCACATTTTTTAATGTTACCGATACAAAAATCGATTATAATTTAAATGGTTTCCAGTCATATTTTACCAATTTGTTTGGCGGAAATAAAGATTTAGGTATAAAGCTGATTGAGTAATTTAATATAGAAGAAAAATTTAAAAAATAATTTACTTTCAAATTAATTTTCCAGAGGAGAGTACAAACTTATTTTTCAATGAAAATTGGATGATGGTAGCTGAAGCACTGAGGCCAATTCTTACTCAAACCATCCAAGATGTTTTATTGGATACGTTACAAAAAATATTTCACTACATACCAGCTAAATTTTTTGTCTACGACATTCCTATACTAAACTAAAATCTAAAAAAATTTACTTTTTTCGAAATGTGAGTGATTGATTCTTAAATATAAATGATTTGAAGTTTGCATTTTATCGATAATTACTTACAATTACAATATATTTTTACTATATTTTATAATTAAAATTAGTGTTACAACTCAATGAAAATTTTGGTGATACAAGGAATTCTAATTTTAATACAGTTTCTATTCTTATAATATTAAGTAGAATATTGTTTCCAGCCAAGGTTTTTTTAAGCGAAATTTATTATTCAAATATTGGAATTTTATTAACTCTTGTATAAATTTGCATGTACATACATAACAACATATTAAAAAACCCCTGAGAAAAAAACAGATTTTTGGAATTTTCCTGATTGATTTTTCAGGATAATGCTAATATCAAAAAAATGAATGTTGTCAACACATAACCGACTGCAAAATGTATTGTCTTGTTTAAGAAGAATGTTTAATAAGCTTAATTTTAAAGACCCTCGTAAAGTTTAAGTTAACATAAATACTTAGAAAAATGTGAATTTGGTTATTAAAAAAGTTTCACTTTATGCCATTCGAATTCCCTGAGAGATTCATCACTTACTTCTGGTAGCAAATAACCTTCTAATGTTAAATTTCAACACATTTCGTCAACTAGTTCTTTAGATATACTAAAAAACATAAATGAGAGATTAAGTTCGTTTTCGAAATCCCTATATTACCAAACCTTTTACAATTCAATTATTTTAACATCCTGAGTTGAAATATTTAATTTCAAGTAAGTCGATTAATTATTTTTCTTTATGTATGTACAAAAATATAAATATATATACGGAACAATAAATTGTTCCGTAGTAAAATGTTAAGTTGCTGGCGCCTGATTTTTGATCAAAATTAATTTTTTTTAGCAATTTCCATGAACTATAAAAAAAAACACAAAAATTCTTCACAAAATTTTAATATTTTCATATTCTAAATGATACAGAAAATCGTTCAACAAAAAATCATACTCGTATCATATTCATAACAGAATTTCACACATTATACCCCTTGAGGAATTGAAAAACAATGAAATTAAGGTTCTTCTGATTTCTTCTTGCAAAATTCTTAAACAGTGTAACAAAAAATACATGTGTTATAAACCGTGTGTTCGTATTAATAAAATATGGAATAAAATATTAATGCAAACCGACTCAATTTCGACATTTGTTTCTTGCAAGATTGCACACAAGAAAAAGAATTTATAAATTTAATTAAATGTTAATTAATAATTCTAAAATATTTGAAATGTATTAAACATTTTTTATAACCCAACCTATCTTTGTTTTTGAGTAAAATGTATGCCACATCATTAACATTGCCTAATAAACTAAGAAAAACTGAATATGCATTGAATTCTCTTCAAAAGTAAAAGCTACAAATTTCTAATTCTCAATGGACTATAAAACACGCTGCATGTACTTTATTCCCCTAGAATTTTGCTTTTGTTAATACTATTAGCTCTTGTTCAAAAAACAAAATATTCTACATTGTGTTTGTGTTGCTTCCGAAATGAGTTCACGTATTTGTATTCAAAATAACGGGTCTTTTCTTATATTCATTTCTATAATAGTTCTAACTTGTAGCACGTTCGAAAATTCAAGCTACATACACTGAAAATATAGATCGTTCAGAAAGTACTGGCTGTAATAAAGTGCGTTCGGTAATTCAATCTTTAGTAAAGAAATGACAGAAATGTAGCGCACACCTCTAGTTTAAATTTTGTCGCTGCCTTATGAATGGCAGATTTAGATTTTGAAGGGTTATTAAACTAAGTTTTCTTTAAGTCTTTAAATCTTGTTAAAATTTCCTTGTTTTGCAGCGAATTGGAAGGCGAAAAGTATTGGGATGCAATTTCATAAGCAGTGTCATTTCTGTTATTTTCGAACGACCGATTATTTAGAAGTTTTAGAATTTGCAGACTTGAATAAAGAAAAGCCCCAAACATTTACCACAAGCTATGAACTTCTACAGTTTGACAGAAACTTTTAATCATTTACTTTTTTCTAAGCAAAACCTTTTGTTCATGTGTTACCGAATTACTCCAAATTTCTACTGACTGGATCTAAGAGACTGTATTAAAAATGTGTGTAAAATTGAAAAAGGCATTTATTCAATTAATAATACTTGTTGCCCAAAAAATTTTTTTTAATTCCTTCACGTTTAATGGAAGGTAATGTACAAAGTTTTTATGTACAATCTAAAAAAAGAAAGCTTACTTTCAATTTATTTATGGTAATTTTCTATATTATTTTACAAAGTTTTATTTAATGCATTGAAAAATTCAAAGCAGAAACTTTGGCTGATAAATTTTTAAGAAAAGGTGTCCAAAACTAAACAGCAATTCGTGAATAATTCGAAAAACTCTTAAAAAAATTCTTTAATTTGATATCTAAAAAAAATTTACTCAAAAATGAAAAACTAAATTGCTTTATAAATTGGTTATTATTTAAACTCAATTAATGCATAAAATACTTGGACACTTAAAATTTAAATATTCGCACATTAAACACTTTAGACTATTATTCTTTCTCTAAAAATATTAGTTTAATTGTTTTGAAAAAGAATTTGCATAACGTATAAAATTAGTAGTTCGGCTTACATTCAACCGAATTACAAATAATATTAGTATGTTTCTCTACTACTTTTATTCAATTAAAATAAAAATAAAGTTGGTCAATCCAATGGTTTGTATTGTAGCACTTTTCTCTTCAATAATTAGTGAAAATACTGCTTTTAAATACAATTAATGCTATGTACACCTACCACAGTATTAAAAATATTTTCATTTATATACGAAACTATTTTGTAGTATTGCATATATTTGGGGTGAACGATTTATGCAGTGTTTTTGCTTGTTATTAATTTAAAGAGGGCTTAACATAATGCTCGATTTTAAGGGTTAATTGTGTGAGCTAAAAAAAATAATTATATTTTTTAATGTTACGGAACTTACCGTTAGCTTTTTGCGTTTATAGAAATTTGAAAAAGCTTGCGGTTTCGGAAATATAAAGCGTCAAAAATTCAAATTTTACAAATTTTTAGAGGCGATGAGTTGCGAGGGGATGGAGCTGGAAAAAAATTTTCTTCTAACGAAATAAACTATTTATTTATATCTAAAAGCTACTAAAATATCAGGCTACTACAAACTGGGGTCCAGAAAAAAAAACGACATCAAAATTTTGGTAAGAATAGATTTTAGATAACGGTAAATTTGAACGGTCATTTTGTTTTTTTAAAGATTAACTATAGTATTCCACGATAGGAGAAGCAAGCCCCTGGCTTTTGGCTAAAAATGTTTATGGTTTCATTGCAACAAATAGTTAAAAAAGGCCATTTTTTAGGGTTTTGGGGGTATAACTTTTAGAGGGGAGGAGATAGGTAAAAATTTTGTTCTACGGAAATAAGTTTCTAGTAAAGATGTATGTACATATTAAATTTCAGCTTTCTATCTTCAAGGGTTTAGAAGTTTTGAAAACAAAAAGGTGTCCACGGACGGACAGAGTAAAACTAATAAGCACTTTTTTTCAAAAAATTTTTGGAAAAGTGCTAATTAGTCCCAAATTTTTAAAAAGTACTATATTTACGATTGTCAAAATGATTTTAAGCATGAATACTTAATTGAATATTCTTGTAGAGTTGGAATAAATTAACTGGGGATTCGTATACAAAAAACATAATTTCTCATTATCATTGGATTCTCTTCTTATAGAATAACGAATTGAAAATATTTCCTACCATAATTCTTTACTAATGACGTGTATAACAGCTTACGAAATTATTAACGTAAAACTTCATCTGTTATTTTTACAATGTTTTAAACCATAAAATCTACAAGGAATTGTAAATGTCAAAATGTTATTTTTTTGTGTAAGAGTGTAAGTAATAAATCACTAATACTAAGATGAATTTTCTTTTTTAAAATTTTTATAACAGTTGTTAAAATACATATGTATATACTTTTGATTTTGTTTCCTCAAGAGATATTTGGAATAAGTTTCATAACAAATTTTTATATTACTATTGCAATTATATTATAAATATTCAAGGTCCCCTAGACTCAGTGATGCTTGCACGCATTGGTTAAAGAACGGATTCAGACAAACAAAAAATAATAAAAAGTATTTTTAATTTTTTACCCTCCTCTCATTATTATGCTTACATGTTGGGTTTTTTAAGAATCTTACATAATAGGAAATTTTATAACCGATTAAATTAATAAACTCATTTTAACATTCAGTGGTAATGGAAATTACAAATTTTAAACCTATTGGTTTTCAGACTGAATTATTTTAGACATTAAAAATTTGAAGTCAAATAGAATGAAACAAGTAAAAAGTTTCCGTCGGTATAAACCGATTGAATTATATCCTGCACTTTTCGTTGTTGTATAGCAATTACTCAAACCTGTAAAACCATTCTATAGAAATTTCACTGATATGTCTGATTTATAACTGGACACACAACTGCCAAGTTTCATGAATCCGACTTTATTTTTCCAAATATTTAAACTTTTGGACTTGTATGGGAGCTACTCGTAGCTGTAGAGCAATTCAACCAAAACTTCAGAAATATATCTGACCTATAACTCGACACACAGCTGCCAAGTTTCATGAATCTGACTTTATTATTTTTCCAAATATTTAAAATAAGCTTTTGGAGTTGTACGGCAAGTACCCGAACCTGTCAAGCAATTCCATCAAAACTTCAGAAATATATCTGGCCTATAACTCAACACACAACTGTCAAGTTTCATGTATCTGACAATATTATTTTTCCAAATATTTAAAATTAGCTTCTGGAGTTATATGGCAGGTACCCGAACCTATCAAGCAATTCCTCTAAAACTTCAGAAATATATTTGACCCATAATTAGACACATGGCTGCCAAGTTTCTGAATCTGACTTTATTATTTTTCCGAATATAAAAAATTTGCTGTTGGAGTTGTATGGCAGCCACCCGAACCGGTGCAGCTATCCCATTA